CTGCCGCGGGTGCTCAGAGCGTGTTCCAGGTACGGGGAGGTGGTCAACATCAACCTGGTGCGGGACAAGAAGACCGGGAAGTCCAAAGGCTTTTGCTTTCTGTGCTATGAGGACCAGAGGAGCACCGTCCTGGCTGTTGACAACTTCAATGGGATCAAGGTGAGGGGCCGGTCCCGCCTGTCCCAGCTCGGGGGGAGCCCCAGCAGCGCGGGGGGCTGGGCTGTTCCCTGGCTCACCCTGTGTCTCCTCTGCTAGATCAAGGGAAGGACCATCCGGGTGGACCACGTGGCCAACTATCGGCCCCCCAAGGACTCCGATGACCTAGATGATGTCACCAAAGCCCTCCATGAAAAGGGCTGCGGGGTTAAAACGCCACCTCATACCTCTTCTGAGTCCCAGTCAGAAGATGAGGATGTGCCTGTAAAAAAGCAGAAAGGTGAGATGTGTTCCAGCTGGGAGCCTGGGCTCGGGGGAACACCACAGATGGGGGTGCTCTGGGGAACAGCACGAGTGCCTGGGCTTGGGTCTGTGCCCTCTTGAGGGGTGTCTGAGCCCCTGGCTTCAGCCTCCTCGGTGAGCATCCTCCCCTGCCTCCAAAGGGACAGGTCTTGCAGACAATTCCAGCACTTGTCACTGCGGGGGGGGAGCTGGGAAGGCTGAGGAAAAGCATCTGAACATCTGGGCACCACTTCATCTGAACACCTGCTGCTGCTGCTGCGGCCGTGCAGCACTGCAGGTGGATGGAGTGACTGTTACGTGGCTGATAAATCGGTTAGAACATAAACCCAGTGGATCTAGATGAGATTCCGCTGCTGGAAGCTGGTGCCACAGCCAGGTTTGGACTGGATGGCTTTTAAAGGTCCCTTCTAACCTAAGCTGTTCCACGGAAGTAGATCTAAAAATGCAGCAGAAGTGAAACCATCCAAGTGCCTGAACAGCTCCTGTTCCCTGCGGAGGCAGCAGGGCCTGTTTCTCCGCAACGTCCAGAAGAAAACAGAAGGATGTAGAGCACATCCCAAGGGAGCAGAGGTGCCAGGCACGGGACCAGCCTGTGACTGCCGAGGGCAGCCTTTCTGGGAAGGATGTGGCAAGTTTTAAAGAAGTGGGATGGCTCAGACTGGAGAAGTGTTGGGGTTGGAAGCGGAACAAGATCCCCAAGGGGGGGAACAGGCTGTGGAGCTTGGGGGAAAAAGTTGGGAGTGGGATTGGAAGGACAGCGTGGTGCTGGGCAGAGCAGGGGGCTGGAGTGATGCTCTGGGACTGTCCATCCCAGAAGTGGAACCTTCTCTTCCAGATCAAGAGAGGAGAGGGGAGGAGAGGCCCAAGGGCTCGCAGGCGGTGAGGAGAGCACCCCCGGGTGAGGATCAAGAAGGAGAAGGAGGACCCGGGGTACGAGCGCTACGCCAGCGGGAGCCACCCGCCCGGGAAGGGCTCCGAGAGGAAGCCTGGGAGCAGGACACAGCGGGAGGAGGAGGAGCGGAGGCACCAGAGGCCGTCGGAGAGGAGAGGGGAAAAGAGAAGCCAGGAGCAGAGGGGACACAGCAGTTGGTGGGAGGAGAGGGAGAAGCGGGAGGAGAGGGAGAAGCGGGAGGAGAGGGAGAAGCGGGAGGAGGGCAGCAGGAGGGGCGAGGGGCACAGCAGCCGGCGGGAAGAGGGTCCCGAGGGAGGCAGATCCCGGGAGCGCGGGGCCAGGGTGCCACATCC